ATTGACATAAATTGGCCAATCACATTTTATCTAAAATCACATGATAGGGGCATGCCTTTCGGTCAAAGGGCATGCCCCTAAGTTCTATGCCCCCAACCCTACAGAGACAAAATCAAGACGTAAAATTTTTCAACCTTCTCCAAAAAATTCACATGGGTAAAATTGATGATGAAACATGGCACCTGTTATCTCAAAAAAAAAGCGATACTCTCCGATCACCCGAATTAGATACCACTCTAAACACCACACACTATAGAGAAAACGCTGACCTAATCAATAGACTAATATGCACTATGATCCCTACTCAAGAAAACAAATTCATGATTTCGAATTGTACAGACATCATTGACAATCAAATATGTGATAATAACTCAAACCTTAACGAATTCAAAAACAAAACAAACTTACCAGAATCAATTAGAATTCAACCCGGTGCAAGAGTCATGTTTCTCAATAACTCACAACACCAACATCGGATAGCAAATGGTACCATAGGTGTCGTTACAGATCTCAACTTAAACCCAGAGCTTGTTTATGTCAGCTTCTGTGTAGAAGGAGCCATAGTAAATGTTTCATTTCTAAATTTACCACTCATTTCAACATAAACGGCATACCTGCTAGCCGCACCCAATTTCCAATACAAAATGCATTCGCTTTAACTGTTCATAAAACACAAGGCCTCACACTTCCGATGTATCATTAAGCCTAGATGATCAAATATTCGCACCCGGACAAGCTTATGTTGCACTGAGCCGTTGCACTAAATGGGACCATTTAAAAATACAATCATTAGATCATACCGCATTTATAACCGACCAATCCATGATAAAAGAATATGAGCGTTTGGAACTAAAAGCCCGTGAACCATTACCATTAAACAGACCAATCTCATAAATTTTTTTTTTTTTTCGAAGATAAAAAATTAGCTTCCTAATTACACACGTAATCAATCATAAATATATTTCATTGAAAATTTAAAAAATATTTTATTAAATAAAAAATTCAACTTTAAATACCTTAAAAAAAAAAAAAGGTAAAGATAATTTTCGAACCTTTGTATGACAAAAAAAAATACTAAACTACGTCATTATTACAATCATTATTTAAATAACACATTAAAAAAATCCAAATGAAAATCTCTACTTAAATCGGGCGGCGAAGCCGCCCACGTGTGCTATTCTAGTTCATAATAAAATAAATCAAAATTCCAGTATCAGTATCAGCCGCGACAATTATTGTTCGGGTATATTTCTGGAAGCGATAACATCATAAATGTAATTATGCGACTGTTCGAGTTCTCGCAATAATTTAAATAATTTTAATAGGACAGACTAAGAGATAGATTTGGTGCTTAAATTTTGCTTCAATCAGTCAGCTTTACCAACTCACATGGACAAACCCATTCTTTACGCAAGCTCAAACTCTTGCTATGACAATTCAACACTACCAAAAATTCGAACTGCGTTATGCACGAATAAAGATTATAATCCGCAAATAATTTATTTTATTTGGTTGCGGGCCAGAAATTAAACTAAAATTGAATTTTAAGCATTATTTTTCATAATTATTTTTAGTATCTAATTTTTAATTATTTGGATTTATTCCGGGATTTACGTCCTTCTTTTTCTAATTTTGCTTTTAGTGCTTCAGCTTTAGCTAATATTTGAAATTAAAATTCTCGTATTAAATTCTATTAAAAAAAAGGCATTGGTATATCCTAAAAAAAAAAAAGAAAAAAAAAAGTTTATTGAAAATTACCTTCTGCCTCGGCTTTTCTTTGTATAGCCGCTTCTTCTCGTTGTTTCTTTATAATAGCTAGACGTGCTAAGTCAGATTTCGCCTGCTCTGTTTTACCTTCTAAATGAAGTTTCCAATATCGCTGCCTGGCTGCCTCTTTTTCAGCAGCTTCTCTAAAAAATTCAAATAATAAAAATATTTGAACAAATAATATAAAATTATAAACTTATAAACTATTATATTTTAATTTTGTACCTTTCCCGCCGAGTCATCTCCCTTGGTGCGTTTGATATCTCAGATGCCCTTAGGTTATCTTTCTTAGCTCTATTCGGGTTCTCTGATCCAATAATTTCCGATATTGAATTATCACTGTCGTCTTCGTCGTCATTGCTAGATCCAGAATTTTTTGATTTTATTTCTTTCGATTCTTTGGCTTCTTTTGGCTTTCTAACAACTTCCTTTTCCTCTTCCTCTTCCTCGTCAGAACTTTCTATATCATTTTGCCCTTCCCGATACTAAAAAAGTTATTTCATAAGTTGTATATAAATCTATCGTAATAACTCTTGTTTGTAAGCTACTCACATCCCACATATCATCTTCCTCAGCGTCTTTTGCTATAGCAAGACGCCTTGGGTTTGTAAATTTATGCCCACCACCACGAGTCGGTTTTTTGTGCCTATTGTGATACTTTGGTTGTGGCATTGGAAAAATAGACTTGTAGATTTACTCCGGGAGAAGAGAAAAAGAATTATAAAAACTGACATAACATGGGATAATTTGATTTTATTGGCTGATTAACAAGAATTTTGATTGGCACCTACAACTGGCGCATTGATACTCCGATTTTGTCTCTAGTTTAGCAAACAGGGTTAAATACTCTATATATATCTGATACGTATATACTGTATACTGTATAGTATATTTTATACACTCTCGAAGTGCTTCAGAGTAATGATACTCCAGTATATATTGGGGTGGTCAGAATTACAATTATGCATACGGTAAAATATATCCAAAATTATGCAGTTTTTAATATATCGATATGTAAAAATAGTTAACATCATAAAAATCAGGGAGTGGTACAAAATTCTTAATAGTTTCTTAATAGTTTCTCAGATAGAATAATAATACTACGTATTCTACGTACTATTTATATAAGTCCTACGTATTTATTCTAAATCCCAAACCGATCATCTTAGCACAAGGAACACCATTTATTAATTAGGTTCTTAGCCATTTTTAAGATTGTACAGTATTTATTTTATCTGAACATTAATTAATATTGTGCTTTTTGTTATTTCTAATTTTTAACAGGCTGATGAATACTGTATATAGGGGAATTTTATATTAGATTATTCGATATTGATATTAGAGGAACTCTAAAAATTTACTAATGAAACCTCATAGGAAGACATTCATATGATTGGTTAATTTTTGTCGATCTACCCGTGATTGCCCGTGATAATTAACCAATC